AGGGCCACAGACCTGACCCAAGAGAGGAACGCTGGAGAATAAGGCTCGCTAGGCTTGGCTGTAGGCAGTGGGGGCGAAGACAGGGAGGTGTCCAGGAGAATTTCCAGCTTCCAGCTTGAGCAAGTGGGTGGGTGATGGTGACGGTGACAGAGACAAGCCAAGGACCCTGGAAGCAGAGCAGGTGCAGGTGGGTGGAGCTGGGGACCTGGGTTTGATCCTAAGGCTGTGTCTAAAGAAGCATAAGACCTACAGGTACTGAACCCAGAAGAGCTAATTAAATTCAGAATAGAAAGATGACCTGGGGAGGGCGGGCAAGGGCGTAGTGGTATAGGGAGAAGAGGGGTCAGTTTAATCTCTGAGGAGCCATGGCAACAGCAGGACCTGTGGGCAGAGTGGCCAGAGATTCTGGGCTTGGACAGTCAGAATCATGAAGCCAAAAGTTTATCTTCTTTTAGACCCCAAAGGCATCTGGCCTTGAGTCTCCCTCTCCAAGGAGCATACCCTGGGCTTAGACTGAGCTCAGATGAAAGCTTTCGCTTCCCCTGTACCCCTTCTTCCCTCTGGGCAGAGCCAAGCTCTCCCTTCCAAGCAAGACAGTGCATGTCTATAATTCTGGTGCTTAAGGAGCTGCACCCGGAGAATTGCCACAAGTCTGAAGTAGCAACCAGGCAAGCCAGAGCTACACAGGAAGATCCCGTGAGTGAGTGAGTGAGTGAGTGAGTGAGTGAGTGAGTGAGTGAGTGAGTGAGTGAGTGAGTGAACTAATGAACGAATGAATGCCAAGTTCTGCCAGGCTCAGCTCAGGCAGTCCCTCACCTAAGTGAAGACTTCCCAAGCCATGTTGCTGTCTTGCTATCAGTCACCCTGTCTTTGAATCTCAGGTCTCTCTCTGGACGACTGTGGGACTGTGGTCAGATAACCTCAGTTCCCTCATCCGTACCATGGAGATGATGATCATCTTCCCCTCGTTGGTGAGAATGAGTGTGTAAAGTGCTTAGCAGAATCGTAGGGTAAACGCTATGTAAGCCTCATTGTGACTAACATCCCCACCTTTGGACAGATAGTCGCCCCCCCACCTTCGACGTCCTCCCCACAGGAGCTATTTTCAAGGCTGTCCCCTCTCTCTGGATTATGAACTAGATAATATGAAAAGACCAGCGCTAAATGAAAGCCCAGGCCCTTGTTCAAAACAATTCTTTCCAGACAGTGGCGACAGAAAATTAAAGCGTGGAGTCCCACTAAGCACAGGGTTCTGTCCCTACCTCAAGCCAACTTCCCAGGCTAGCCCTCACACGAGGTAGTAAAAATGCCACCTGGCATAGGGCCTTACAATTCCCAGCTGGAATTTCACTTTCTGCTTCCCATTTTATAGCTGACGACATTCAAGTTTAGACACAGGCATGTTCTGCTTGTGAACTGCCAAGTTAGGGTTTGAATACAGAACAGCCAAGTATCAAAGCTCTACTATACCTTGCCTCCTGGCACCCCAGAGGCTGGGAAAACCTGGCCCCAAGGGCTGAGCTCAGTCAACAAGGCTGAGATGTGGCTCAGCCCACTGAGAGGGATCTGAAGACACTAGGACTGCCTCCCTCCTGGGAAGAGTCACATAAACAAGGGCTCCCTGGGTACCCTCTCTGCTGCTACTTAAGGGAAGGGCTAAGAGAGGGCAAAAGGTCACTCACGCAGAGGCTCCCTTGTGGCCCACAGGCTTACCTAGAACTCTGGCCCTGCCTCCACTCCTTAAAACCCTTTAGGGGTTGCCACTAGCTTCAAAATAAGCCTCCACATCTCTAGTATACTGCTAACCCAGGGTTGTGGAGCTTGGCTGTCCCCTAGCCTGCCACACGCCGCTCTGCTACATCACCAGGATGTTCCCACACCACCAGAAGCCCCAAACACTGTTTCCTCCCTGTTCATCCTTGCTTCTTTGCCTCCTTGCCTACGTGGCACCCTCCATGCCTCACTAAGAAGCCACCCTCTCGGGAAGCCCTTCCTGAACCCCAGAAGGTAGGGGAGCAACCTGCAGGGATAGGCCCATGAACCCTTACTTTCAACACACGTCATATATGCTCTAGATCATGACCCTACTAGAGAGGGCCTCCGTGGTTCCCAGAGCTTGCTGTACCAGTGGTTCTGAGTGACAGATGCGCCATCCTGCAACAGAGGCAAGAGGACCCTCACTCCCTTCTCCCACTCCTTCCCTTTCTTGGTCCTTGTGCAATGGCCTTGATTGGTATTTTGGAGTTTTTTGTTTGTTTTGTTTTTGAGGCAGGGTCTCATGGAGCCCAGGCTGGCCTCAAACTTGCTAGCTAGCTCAGGTGAGCCTTGAGCTCCTGGTCTACTTGCCATCAGCTGGGATTATGGGGTGTACTACCATATTCAGGTCTTATTCAGCTACCTTGAGCTCTAGGAGTGAAGAGTCCACACTTGCAAGGGATGAGAATCATCAAACAGAGAAGGTCTCCACCTGTCCTAGGCTGACTGCATATTTTGGTAACACACTTAATCCAGCAGTACCATCTAGGCAGGTGGGCCAGTCTGGTTACAAAGCACACCTGGTTTTGGGCTTGGGTTTTTGAAATAAGGTCTCATTCTGTAGCTCTGACTGGCCAGCAACTTGCTACGTAGACTAGGCTTGCAACAGTCCTGCTGCATCTGCCTTCCCAAGTGCAAGGAACACAGGCAGGTACCACCAAAGCCTGGCAATCACTCTTGCCTTCCAGGGCCAATAAAGGCCAGGGAGTCGAGATGGATACGCGTAGTCGTCACAGGTGGAGGACACGAACCTCGCTCTGTCTAATGCCCAAGCACCTTGTCTCCTCTCTGCCAGTGGCCCCACACCCCTGTGACTCATCGGCCACAACGAACGCATCTCACCCACGGAGCAGAGCTCCTGTGTCCAGTTACGGACATCTATGTGCAACACAGACCTGCCGTGAAAAGAGGCCGGTGGCCAAGTCATCTGTACCCACTGTGAAAGAAACACCCCATGTCAGCCAAACACAAATGGGGGAGGCACCCCCATTATCAGCAAAATGTTGTTGGCGATGCACTCTGCGCCCCAAGTCAGCAAAATGCGAGGGGGAAGAGCCGCTGCCATAGTCAGCAAAAGGCTCTGTGCGAGGCACTTTGCTACACCCCCTGAGCCTGGGCTCGTGACAAGACTGAGGGACACAGAGAAGCCTTCCAAAGCAGGGTTCCTAGGGCCAGAGAGCCCTGGGGTGGCTGTTTCCTGGGGGGGCAGGGAGCTTCAGCTGGGGAGTGGGGCAGACTCAGGTGAGAGTTCTCACGTGGCACTAATGAAATCAACCACCAGCCTCCCTCCCCCTCCCCTGGGACCCTCCAGGCTCCAGCTGATGCAATGCCCAGCCTGATAATTGTTTTCTTCACTCCTTAAAGGGCCAGCCACTTCTGCAACTATGGACAGACATCACCCAGACCCCTGACAGCACCCCCACAGAGCTCAGCATCTGCTCAGGGAGAGGAGGGGCCCAGAGAGCCAGCAGCATCAGGCCTGGGCTCCAAAGAGTAAAATCCAATCAATGTCCAGAGACTAGGAGTGGCAAGGAGGGAGAGAGAACAGTTAAGACAGTGATAGCAACCACCTCCCCTGGAGGACAGGAATCAGGTCCCTGCTGAGTCCTCAGCTCCTGGCTCCAGCATGCCTGCCCAGCAAGTACTGGACACAGTGCTGTGTGTAGCTCAGTGTAGCTGATGAAGATAGACACGGGGATAAGCCGCTCAGACTACCACTGTATTTACTCCTCCTAAAACACAGGTCTGTTTTGCTGGAAGAGGCCCTGAGAAGGCAAGTGATTTCTTTAATATCACAAAGCCAGGAAGTATCAGAGCCTGGGTGTGAAGACAAGTTTAATCAGCTCTGGGCTTTACCCCTTGTAAACGGCCAGATGTCTGTAGAACTCTAGGAAGTTGCACGGACCCCTCCAGCAGGCCCTTGTCCAGAGAATGTCCCATTAGGCTACCCTCCTCACTTGACTGTATGGACAGTTGCCAGCTGCGTGATTGTGATTATGGACTAATTGGTGGCTGGCAGCAACTGTGGAGATGGTTTGTTAACCCCTTGGTGAAAGACCCTCTCTCCACCATTCTGGCCCCAAAGCCAAGTGTGAAGCCGTCACCAGCAGAGAACTCATAGACCTCACCCTTAGAGACAGAGTTGGACACAGCCATTCCCCCAGGCCCAAGCCCTGAAGGCCCGTGGTAGCATTGCCAGCTGGAGCCCCTTGTTTCTCCGGCTTTAGGTATAGAATTTCCCACCTCAGCCCAGGACTTCAAGGGCTATGGACCATTCATGAGTTTCTGTGGTACTAGAAGGAGACCCACTCCCTCAGACTGGGCTGTCCAAAGGTGACAGGGGCCTGGGTTCCAGGCAGTCAGGAGGCCAGCCAAGGGGACCTATCCTCCCAAACGAACGAGATGATGCCAGAATGGCCCATGAAGGGTCTTGCTAAGCTTCCCTGAAGCCCTGGGCAACCCGTCCTGCCCCTGACCACTTTTCCCCAGCTTCCCAGAAGCCCCCTCTTTCCACCCTGAGGCTACGTGAGCACCACCTCGCTCCTTCCTGAGGAGGGGGGGTGTTTTCTCTGGGTACAATGGTGTCACGTTGGGAGGAAAAAGTGGCCGCTTCCCAGCCAGGGTACAGGCAGGAGGGAGAAAGGCAAGCTGCCTTTCCAGGAGGGATTTTAAGCACTTTCCAAAAATGCCATGCGAAGCAATGCTGTTGAAGACTAGGGCCCCAGGTGAGCCCTGAACGTCAGCAAAGTACTCCAGATTCTGGGGCTCCTACCCCATTTTCCAGGCTCAGCCCCCGCCCCACAACCATCTCAGGCTGTGCGCAACGCGGGCCCCCGCCCCCCAGACCTGGCACACATCCCTACGTAGCGCTCGGCGGCCGGCCGGAACCCCCTCCCCGGCGTGGTCCCTTGACCGCAGCCCCCTCCCCACGCCCACTCGCAGGCACGCAAGGCCTGCTGACTTACCCCGAGGTGGGGCCGGGGTCCACGCCGGGAGCTGGGCTCCGCTGGCTGAGTAGCTCCGCAAGGCGAGGCAGGTGCTGCCCCGGGACCCCGCCCCGCGGACCCGGCGGTAGGCGCGGCCCCTGGCGGGCGCGGACTCCGAAGGGGTAGGGACGCGGGGCGGGGACGGGCAGCGACAGAGACTCACGGGGGCATCGCCCGCCACCGGGCCGGACAGCTCAGCTCCGCTCCGCCCGCCTGCGCTGCTGGCTCCGCAGCCGCCACAGTTCTCAGTCGCCGCCGGGTGCAAAGCCAGAGCCACGGCTGGCGGGAGGCGAAGAGGGCCCTGCCAGGGGCGGGGCCTCGGGCTGGTGGGAGGGATTAGCTAACGGGGCGGGGCCATGTGGGCGTGGTCTTGTGGTGGGCGGGGCCTTGGGATCTGGACCTTCTAGGTCTATCCATGCTGAGTAGGCCTAGAAGGAGTGAACCCCTAAGAAGCAGGGGCTGGGGCCGCTCAAATAGTTCCCTGTCTCTAAGATGCTCCCTCTTGTCCTCTGCCTGTCCACACCTCTACACCATCTGTTCCTTCTCATCCTTCCTTGTCTTTGAGGATACTTCCCAGGTGCCCCCATCTACTCTGAACCAGATCCAGGAACTTCAGATGGTAAGCAACAAGGCTAAGCAATTTACAAACATTTTAAAGACCAGGAGAAAGAAAGAAAAGAAAGCAGGTTAGAGGAGAAAGGACTTACTCAAGCACCTGCTGTGAAAGACCTTCTGGGGCTAGAGAGAGAGGCCAGCAGTTAAGAGAGCCCTCTGCTCTTGAAGGCGGTCAGAGTTCAGTTCCCAACACTCACACCAGACAACTGGCAACCACCTGTAACTCCAGCTCCAAGGAGTCTGATGCCCTCTTCTGGCATCTGCAGGCACCAGCACACATATGCACACACAGGAGTAAAAATAAGTCTTTTTGATTTTTTTTTAAAGGACTTTCCAATGTTCCTTTTGGACTTAGGGGAAGGAACTAGAGTGTCAGTCCTAGTGACCCCTGTTAACTCCCTCCCAACCTGTGACAGTGGTTTTCAATTTGGATGGTTTTGTCCTGAGGAGATTTTTCACAATATCTGGAGTTATTTTTTGTTTCCAGAATCATGAGAAGCTTTCTTGATGGTTTCTGTTAAGAAGAAACCCTAAAACTGTACTGGCCATTCCTGACACCAGGAGGTCTCAAACCCAAAGTATCTCTCTCTCTCTCTCTCTCTATAT